TTTCTTTACTGACATACAAACATTTTTCTGTAACATTTCATTTTGTGCTGGAAAACTAATGTTTGGAAATCTAAAAAGTTTTTGTACAGAATGTAGAAGTCATAAAAGAAAAATCTATAACAAAGTTTGTACTAAAAAAAAAGAGTGTCTAAGACTTTTGCATAGTACTGTATATACTTACCATCAGTTAAAATCCACCATCCAGTTGAGTTTTTGTGATTGCCACTGCCAGCAAGCAGTTCCTGACTGCACAGCTGGAAATATTACTACGCTCTCCTTAAACCTGAAAACGTGGAAATTCTAGTTTTCCTGTCTGGTCCTGGATGATTAAATTGTTAATTGGGATTTTTTTTTAAATAGTAAATCGAGAGCAGAGAAAAATCAATATGACACATGTCTCGTGCTCACACGCAAAAGGTATCCAGATGTTAAAACACCACTCTTGGTGGTTATCCGGGGTTCATGAACATATGTTAAGTTTTCAGGATTGACGGCTTCGCAATTTTTTTTAAACATGACAATCTGCATTTTAACTTATTAACTTAAAGAGAGGTGGAAAAAGAGAGGTTTGTGACGAAACGACTTTTTACAGCTGCTACAATGTAAGTGATAACATGAACTAACTTGTTTTATTAACGAATAAAACATATGACGTGTCGTTTTGTAATAAATGAACTGTTCTCATGGGCAAGTTGTTGTGGCGTAAATAAAAGAAAACACTTCAGATGTGATGTGTTTGGGGGGAAATCATTAACTTTAGGTTGGTAACAGCATCCCACTACCCCGCTGTTTTGTTTGCAGCACTGCACGCGCCGTCTTGTTTTATTGTAGCTACACAGCTAGCTAGCTCAGACTTAAGCTCCTGTCACAACAAAGATTCATGCTCTATTTATAAATACACACTACACATTCTGTCATAAAATATACTATATAGTCAAACTGATCATGAACCATTAATGTTTTGAAACGAACAACGCAAACTATACGAATTAGTGTTGTTATTAAATTAGCCACTCACCTCTGCTAAAACCGCAGCTTCTTCTTCTTCTTCTTCTATTTAATGGCGTTATGGTGCATTACTGCCACCTACTGGGCTGGAGTGCAGAGGAGCCATGTTAGATATGAAAACATAATGCCTGGTATGTTCTGTCTCTGAGTTATTAGTTTCATTAATGTGGTATTTTATGTCCTTCTTTGTTCTTTGCCCTAATTTGTTAATCATAACCTCTCTTTCTGCTTTGCATACTCCACTGTCTCAGTCCTATTGGGTGTTTATTTTTAAAAATCTTTTATGTCCTCCATTCTTTTTTTCTCCAGCCCTCACTGTGCCTACCTGCCTCTTTATTTTATACAGGTGTCTTCCCATTTCCTTCCAATCACAGAGCCAAGTTTTGGTCATAGCTTATCTTTGCTACAATTTTAATCAATCTTTTCATTGGCTATTACCTCATTCCCATGTACCCCAATATAGCCTAGTATCCATAGTAGACAAACGATCAGATGATCCTGCTGGTGTAATTTGTATAGTTGTTGTAACACTCCATACATGATGTCCTGTCTGCATTCAGACCTCTCTGTAATCCTGATAATGAGTCTGTGCCATTAACAACTCTCCCTCATTTAACATCCGCCACCAACTGAAGAGCTAGGAGAACTGCTATGATTCATTCATTCATCTTCAGTAACTGCTTTATCTTTGTTAGGGTCACGCTGGATCTGGGGTCTATCCTGAGGACACTAGATCGAATCAGGGACACTGGAGCTGTGAGGCGACAACACTACAATTTTTTTTTTTTTTAAAGCAGAGAGTCACTTGCTGACCTAACCACAATGCCTCCACAGTCTAATCTAACTGTTGCTCAGTAAATTTGAGTTATTTATGACTTGCTTTCCTTGGCATATTATGATGTTTAGACCCTTCTTGCATTTTGCATTCAAAGAAACGTCAATTCATACGTTGAACAGACTGCTTTATTTAAGTAGACATTCTATTTTGTGTGACAAAAGAAACAGCAGTGACAAAAGAAAACATGTAAACAAACAAAAGAACGAATTGACACTTTTCTTAAACACTCTTAAGCTTGGCTTCGATTGCAGATGCACATGTGCAAGGTTTTGACTTGGTTACTTCTAGAGTAATTACATTCAAAAACAAAATTAAAGCATCATCAATTCGAAAATTATGTTTCTATGAAGTGGGCACCCTCTGATTTGGTGACAACTTCAGGCATTTGTATAAATATATACATTTAAATCACCTATTACAGTTGGACGTAATGGGTCATTTAACTATCCTGCACATGGCAGAATTGATTACTCATTTTATCCTAATACTATATGAAATAAATGGGCCAATAGAAAAAAAATATTATTAAAAAGTATTAGGTTGTTGGGGCAAAAGAAAAAGCCACTATGACAGCTTCAATGCACCTTGACAGTAATTCTACAAGCCTCTGGTACTGTACTAGACAAATGAACACCAAAAGACTTTTCTTCCAAAAGATATTCCCTCATTTGGTGTTTTGATGATTGTGGTGGAGGATGATGTCTAATATGTTGCTCCAAAATCTCCCATAGGTGTTCAATTGTTCTGAGATCGGGTGACTGTGAAGGACACAGCACATGATTTACAGCATATCATTTTCATAGAACCCATTCAGTGAGCATCTCTGCCTTGGGGATGGGGGCTGGGTCATCCTGGAAGAGACCACTCCTATAAGGATAGAAATGTTTCATCATAGGATAAACTTGATCAGTCAGATGAAATTTGTATTGATTTGCAGTGACACTTCACTCTAAGGGGACACGTGGAGCAAAACCATGCCAGCAACATGCCTTACACAGGATAGCTTGGAATAAGATTTGGTAAAAGGGAGCATGTTGTCAGCAACAAGACTTAAGTAGTCTGTGGCATTTAAATAATGCTCATTTGGTATTACGGGCCTAATGGGTGCCAAGAAAACATTCCCCATACCATTACACCACCACCAGGCTAAACCATTAATACAAAGTAGGATGAATCCATGGTTTGATGTAATTTAGGAAAAATTCTGACAACTATTAGCAAATTGAGAATTTTCAAACGAGGCAATGGTTTCCCTTCTTCAGCTATGCGATTGTGGTGAACCTGTGTCCACTGAGGCCTGGATTTCCTGTACTTGCCTTATGGAAGTAGATGATGGTCTTTTGCTGTAGCCCATCCACTTCAGGGTTCGACGTGTTGTGCTTTCGGAGATGCCTTTCCGTACACCACTGTTATAACGCATAGTTATTTCAGTTACTGTCGCTGTCCTGTCAGATTGCACCAGTCTGTCCAATCTCCTCTGACCTCTCTCATTAACCAGGCGTTTTCGCCCACAGAAATGCCGCTCACTGGATGTTTTTTCTTTCTCACGCCATTCTGTGTAAACTCTGGAGACTGTTGTGCGTGAAAATCCCAGGAGTTCAGCAGTTTCAGAGACGCTCAAACCAGCCCGTCTGGAACCAACAACCAAGCCACGGTCAAAGTCACTTAGATCAGATTTCTTCCCCATCCTGGTGTTTTTAAATTTCCTCTTGAAATTTATAGTCCCAAAAATGGAGAATGTGTTAAACACTAACCCTGAGATAGTCTATGGATCTGCTGCAAATAAACACCAAATATTTGCCACTGTTTTTTACAGATAATTATACTGCACTGACTGCACCAGCTCACTTTTCTGTCTTTTTCCCTTTTTCTGACTTTGACAGGGCTTTAATCCATGTGCTTCTGCTTCATCCCAGACTGGTTCCCTTTTAGGTCAAACGGTGATACAGGCTGAAAAAAGAATGCAAAACACACATTTTTTAGATATATAATAAGAAATCCTGTTAACTATGAATAAATTTGTTTAAGACTGGAATTTGACTGACACACAGTGATCAAAACACTAACACTCCGTGTGTAAAACTTTTAAAATAACGTTAGCTTGTACTGATATGATTCTCTGGGGTACATAGCCAAACAAATTAAAAATAATAGGCTACACAGTCTAACCCAACAAGGACACGTTGTTGGAGCTGCAGTCTATGTGGATGCTTCCGCCTCAGTGTGTCTTTACTGGAGTCAATTGCCGGTCTATTCAATGTCTGGAGAGTAAAGAAGGACAAATAATACATGAATATTACCCTTAAAAAAAAAGAAGCTAACACAGGGTGTGAATGCTGTAACTGAAAAAATGCTGTGACTAAACTGTTGACCCTTGTGTATGTATTCTGTCTATTTCCAGCTCACTATGAAAAATGGTATATGTTTATGAAGAACAAAAATTACAATAATTAACAAGCAATCTGGATTTCACACTCTAAAGGCTGGAAAAAAAACAGAGATTCAACAGGCTTGAGCCAGTTTATTCCCAAGCAACAAACAAATGTTAAAAAAGGCAAAAACAAACCTGTTGTGATGCATCAAGCCAGGATCAGTGAATAAAAAAATATTATATAATTCAGCGTGGCTACTTAAACCTAATCCTAAACGATATTAAGCACAAAAGTAAGTAATTTCCAATCAAAGCCAATGATTCACAAGACTTGTTAAATACAAAGATAAATAGACTACAAATAAACTAATTTGCCAGTAACATTCCATCCATCCATTTTCTGTACTGCTTATCCTACACAGGGTCACACACAAATTGTGTGTGATTTTTTGCAGTGAAGGTGTTTCTTTTATGTTGATATTTTTCACAGTGGAGGAGGAAGTGCAGCTTTCTAACATCCATCCATCCTCTGTACCGCTTATCCTACACAGGGTTGCAGGGAGCCTGGAGCCTATCCCAGGGGACTTAGGGCACAGGGCAGGGGGACACCCTGGATGGGATGTCAACCCATCACAGGGCACAATCACACACAAATTCACACACTACAGACAATTTAGAGATGCCAATCAGTCTATAGCACGTCTTTGGACTGGGGAAGGAAACCGGAGTACCCATAGGAAACCCCCTGAAGCACAGGGAGAGTATGCAAGCGCCGCACGCACAGGACAGAGGCAGGACTCGAACCCCCAACCCCGGAGGTGTGAGGCTCTAACCACTAAGCCACCGTGCCCCTAGTACCAATAACCTTAATAACTAAAGATGGTTGGTGTTCTCAAATGGCTAAGGTGTAAGAGGAATGTGCTGTTATAGGAAAATAACCAGCGTCGTATTACACCACCTTGTCGTTGATTGTTTTCCTCTAAGAACTGTTCTTACTGTTGCCTTTTCGCAGTAGCTTATCTGCGCTACCCCCTTTTGGCCAGCAGAGGCCACTAGCGTACACTGTGATCAAATGCTTCCACTAATCAACTCTTTTCCAAACAGTTGGGAGGAAAGCTTCATTGCTTTAGAAAGCTTCATTTTTGCCATCACTGGACATGACACATAATCTGTTGCATAATATGTTATTTATTTTTAGATGGATCAAATAAATCATGAATGTTTTGAAATGAAAAACGTCAACTGCGGAAACTACTATTAATATTAAATTAGCCAAACACTCACCTCCGGTGAAAGAGCTTCTTCTTCTTTCTGCTTCGTCTTCTTCTTCTCTTTTATGGCTGTTGGCAAACAACAAATTGGTGCATTACCGCCACCTGCTGGTGTGTAATGAGGACCAACCCGGGGGGAGGGGACTAAATGACGTCAAACAGCTTATAAATACTGAGATGCACTGTTTTCCTGACCTAAAGAAGATATCAGCATAAATTGTTCTTTCTGTTTGGATAAACCAGAAACTTCCTTACATTTGTTTTGGTGCTGTAGCCACACTGTTAAATTCTGCTCTGACATTCTTGAATTCATTCAGTGTTATGTGAACCCCAATTCTGTTTTTACTTATAGAAATGTAATTTTTGTTTTTCTGGAATATGAAAAAAGAAATGGTACCTTTTTCTTTATATATTTTATATTTTAATTAGCAAAGTACCATATTCATAAATGTAAATTCTCAAAGTGCAAACCTCTCTTTTTGGTCTTCAAATGTGAGCTTAAAAGTTATTTTGAGTCTATTTCACAATCAGAAAACTTAAAAGCAGCAAGAACTTTTGCTGTGTACAAAGACCTGGGGATCAGTTGGGACTAATATTAGTGTCTGTGAACAACTTTATACACTTTAAGGACTTACATACACTTTATACACGCATTCATTCATTCATTCATTCCCTCTGTTCTCCTGGCTTGTTGATACTGTGTTATTGTGTTCTTATTGGCATAATTAAAAAAAAAAATCCTGACCATCTCTGTAAAATGTGTTTCATATTATAACCTACGTTTTTCTTGGTTTTTAAGTTTTTAAGTTTTAATCTCTTTCCTTTCTGTTTTGTATCTAAGGCTCCATTTTTCTGAAACATAAGAATGGGGAATCCTTGTGTGTATAAAACAAAACAAACAAACAAACAAACAAACAAACAAACAAACAAAAAAAACACCAGTTTAGAGAGTTTGGACCAAATCATATGATCTATTTTCATTTTTAAATATGTATGACATTTTAAATAGTTTCATATAAATTAAATACTGCAAGAAGGAGAAGTGAGAGAGAGAATGAAGAAGAAGAGAGAGGAGGAAGCTGCAATTACGACCATTAACTGGTGTGACATTCGAAAGAAACAGAGTGATGTGGAGATATTGGGGCATCTTGCAGTTAGGTCTATATAGATGGCTATGGGTGACAGCTCAACATACAGTCAGGTCCATAAATATTGGGACAGTGACACAGTTTTGGTAATTTTGCCTCTGTACACCACCACAGTGGATTTGAAATGAAGCAGTCAAGATGTGACTGAAGCGTAGACTTTCAGCTTTAATTCAATGGGTTTAACAAAAATATTGCATTAACCGTTTAGGAATTACATTTTTTACAGAATTCCTCCATTTTCACAGGCTCAAAAGTAATGGGACAAACTAATATAATCATAAATATTAGGATTATTTTTATTACTTGGAGGTAAATCCTTTGCAGTCAATGACTACCTGAAGTCTGGACCCCATGGACATCACCAAATGCTGAGTTTCCTCCCTTGAGATGATTTGCCAGGTCTTTACTGCAGCCATCTTCAGTT